TGTGTGAATACTCCAAAAGGAAGATTTGTACTCTTAGTTGTGTCATCTCTTTTTAGTTTTTCAAGTGTGATTCAATTTCTTCAATAGTGTAGCTTTGTGAGGGTTATCCGTGTGATTGTAAAACTTCCTTGCTTGATCGAATGAGACTTGAGGCAAGAAGGAAGTGATCCTTCATTTGTATACAAGAGATTGGTTGATAGTTGATCATATTGAAGAAGCTTGATATATAAAGTGATATTCAAACTTAGTCAAGTTTGAAATTTGGTTTGCAGTTCTATCCCTTCATTTACTGTCTTTCTATATATACATATATATATATTGCTTACCTATTTTACTCACAAATTGCTTGTGCTAGTCGATCAACTGCTTTTCTGTGAGATCCTCTTGAAAAAGAAAAATAGGTCAAAAAAGGGGGTGACTCATATCTTAGCTTACTTTTTTAGATAACCTAATTCACCCCCCCTCTTAGGTTGTTCTCGATTCTTACATCAACTATCTTACATATAATTTTAAACAAAGAATATAATTGACATTTTACAATAATAAACATAAAAAATAAAAATAATATATATGTGTGTGTATGTGGGTGCTTGTGTGTATGTGTGTCGATTAGATTTGTCAAGCTTACAAGTTTAGAAGTATAATACTCGAGCACGATTTTTAAGTATTTTGAAGTTGTTTAAACTTGACTCGAGTTTACTCAATGTCTAACTCAAGTCGGATAGTTGAGTTAGTTACTCGCGAATTTGAGTCTAATAGCTTGATCAACTTGCAGTCCTAGTTTACTGAACGACTACTTGACCCATGAAAGGGAAAAGTGACCCGACCGGTAGTATTGATTGAACACAAATTTGAACTGTATCCATCCGTAGTTATAAATCAATATGGGTGGGTAAGGGTCAAGTATCCGCTCCATGCATCACTTGACTGAACTGACCTGCACCCACACCCACATCTTGCCCGATTAGCCATTTTTTGACCCTTACTTGCCCCATATATCAGCGAGTATTCGATTATCGAATACCCACTAAAATAGAGTTGGGTCAATGGATACTCGTCCTACCATGCTCTCCATTTGATTTTTTATAATGCTAATTTAATTTTGTATTTTACATATTGATTTAAGATTTAACAAATATTTTTTTCAAAAAAAGTCTTTTGTCAAGAAACAAACATGTAAAGAGAATACAGGAAAAAGGGGAAAAAATTAAAAGAGTTCAAAATCAATGAAAAATTGAAATAAATAATACCTCTTTTAATATATATTCCACAACAATTAAACTCTTTCCTAAAATACATAAGATCATGATTTCTACAAATGAATCTTGTATATAATCTATACTCTCCCATATTTGTGGTGCAATTTGTTCAATGAACCTAATTAGCTAGCTCTAAAAAGATTATTTTGTAGTATGTGTGTGTGTGTGTGCGTGCACGGGTCGGGTCAAGTACTCGTGGGTTCTTAATCTTGTGACCTTAACCGTACTGTGTATCCGACTCTCTTTTGACTCAGTCAAATAATGCAGATCAGATAACCTATTTTTCGAATTAGATTGTATAGGATATGGCGGATTTTCATGTCAACGGGTAATTTTGTCCACCACTATTATTCTGCGTAACAAAGTACCCGCGCATATTGGAACCTACACTTGATTATTAAAATATAAATAAATAAAATAAGTATTCTACTATCATGGATCTAGAAATTGCCGAGTAGGAGTACGGTACAAGTACTTGATTGACAAAAAAAATTTGGTAGATAGTAAAAATTAATGATTAATTCCAAGTCAAGCAAAAGTGACCCATGGCTAAGCAAAACGAGCTCATCGAGTATTTTGCCGTGTGAATCTTTCAACTTGAGTTAATTATGATAAAATCCTTTTCTAATCAGTGAATATCATTCGGTATCAAAAACTCTTGAAAAAAAAAAATCGAAATAAGCTTCATGGTTTCAGGCCACCACATCCAAAGGCAGCTTCACAAAAAAATTAATTTTGTTAGACTCAAAAGGAAAAAGGGAATCTAATTGGCTTTTCTTTGACGGTTTCACCTTACACTGAAGGATTCTTTGACGGTTTCGCCTTACACCTTCAAATCTCTCCTGTCCTTAATGCTGCATTTTGTTGCTTAATGTTGGATTTTATCCCACCAATCGTTATTTTATTGAATTTGAATTTTATTCTACCAACCGTTTATTTTATTAGATTTGGATTTTATCCTACCAACCGTTATTTTGTTGATTTGAGTTTTATTCCACCAACTGTTTATTTTCTTGATATTGAATTTTATCCTACTAGCCGTTATTTTGTTGGATTTGGATTTTATCCTACAAACCGTTATTTCATTAGATTTGAATTTCATCCCACCAACCGTTATTTTTGTTGGGATTGGGTTTTATTTCATCCCACCAATTTATTAAGGTTTCACTAGTTGTTCGGATTTGGATTGTATCCAACTGATCGATTTAGTTTCAAAATAACACTTCAAGTTTTCACTAGTTGTTTGGGATTGAGTCAGATCCTACCAATGAATTTAAGCACACGTGTTATTTTTACTAATTTCAATTTTGTTTAAGAACTCATTTTGTTTGTTTTGATTCCATTGCAGTTGAAACAGACAGGTAAATAATTTGGTGTCTATGTTTTTGTCTTGAATTTCTGTGAAACTCAAACAAAGAGGGGCAAGTTGTAGAGACCAAAATTTTTATAAATCATTTCATTATTTTATTTTTATTTTTATTTATCTCTATTTTTATTTTTTTTATTTTTCTAAAAAAAATAATTTCATCTCATTTGATTTTTATTTCATTGTTTTTGCAGAAAAATCAAAAAGAAAAGAAAAGGAAAAACAAAAAAAAGAAGGAACAATCAGATCAGTTGTAAAAAAAAAAATTCCTATCACCACATTCACCAATTGTACCAAAAGCAAGGAACCAGTACAAGAGACAGCTGGATTTTTGAACAAATTTCGTGCAATTTTTTTTTTGCTTTTCTTTGTCCCCAAGCCTTGCTAGTACAAGACCACATCACCTCTACAAGATTCATCAAGAAAATTCCAGAAACAAGAGGATCAATGGTTCCAAAACCTCCAGCAAAACCAGCTTTCATAACAACCCTTGAGATAAGGGTTTGGAGGGATTTTACCTCACTTAAATAGCAACAAAACGCAGCATTAAGGATAGGAGAGGACAAAATGGTGGAGGAAAAAAAGAAGAGAGAAAGGGAGAGAGCGGGGAGAGAGAAAAAGAAGAAAAAAGAAGCAGAAAAAATTTCTTGAAAATGTTGAGTCAAGGTTGAACATTTTGCCTTCTTCTGGATCAATATTCGATCTCAATTTTAGTCATTTAGATGTTTTATTCATTTCTGCACTATCTACAGTAGTAGAGGGACAAATTTTGTTCACAAAACTTTTAGAGAAAACGCCTCTAAGATTGTCGAATTCGGGCTTGAAGTCACGACATTGTTAGCTCTTGAAGTCAGTTCCAAAGAGCTTTCAGCTTCACGTTCCCGCTCTTGGATTCATCTTTCTTCGATGTTTACTGCATTTACTCATCAAAAGTAGTTCCTTTTACTCATTTCCTCTTCATATAAGCCTAAATCCTCACCCAATCCATCAAAATTTTTCCTGCACTTATGCTTGCTTTTTCTTCTTTTGATGTTTTTCTTCCTTTTGTGAACCATTAGCTCAAGTTTCTATTATAATCTTGAGTAAAATATGATATTTGGTTAATAAGATTGGGTGTTGATGATGAGGTTGCATAATCCTATGTGTTTTGAATCCGAATTTTTTTTGGAAATCATTTGAGAATGGTTGCGGTGTTTGAAGGACTGCAAAGATTGCACAAAGCTTCGAACATCTTTGCATGGAAATTTAGAAAAATTACAATCTCACCCCCCAATTTTTGCATAATGACACTAAGGCCCAAAATATTGTGAAAAATGAACCAAATCTTCCCTTTTCGAGCCTTGACCCTTTTTTGCATATTTTATGTATGTTTTGAGTAAATTAATTATGGGTTTTGGGATGTAATTAAGGGCTAAATAATTTTGTTGAATTTATTTTTTTACGGGGACATGTACTTTTCTTTCTTTGGATTTAGGAAAATAGTTTAAGAATTGGGTTAAGGTTATTTTGTTGGGCTCTAGCGGTGGGTTTTGTTTTTATGACATGGGTTTTGTACCTAAAGCCTAACTTTTTTTATTGGATTTACTTAGCCAAATAAACGGGCTAGCCCATTCTTTTTCTTTGGATTTTTCATTGGGCCAAAGGAGTTTAGGCCCAAAAAATAAATAAAATGGCCCGTTGGCCTTTTTTGGTAAGAAATTTGATACAAAAATTGCAATCTAGTCCCTGATCTTTTGAGAAATTTCACTATGGCCCTAAAATTTTTGAATTTCTTTCAATTAGTTCCTTAATTTAATTACAATTTGATCCCTAAAATTTATCTTTTGTTCAATTTTGATCCCTAACTTTTTTTAAAAATTATAATTTTGACCTCAAAACTTTTTAATTTTTACAATTGAGTCCCTGCCGGTTTTGATTTATTAAGTATAATTTGTTTATTTTCTTTAATTGTTATTCATGTCTCATTTAAATGCATTTAATTAGTAAAATTTAGAAAGTTTATGGTTATTTGTGGCTATGTTTGAATTAGTTGTTTTTTGGGACGTTTTTTTAAAAAATTTATTGTACATGTTTTTTTAAAAATAGCAAATGTTGTTTGGATTACTGTTGTTGACAAATAGATTATTTTTGAATAATAAACGTGTTTGGATCCACTGTTTTTGAAAAACAGCTATTAAATTTTGTAATCAATCTGGCTTTGCATAGCCTTCCTCCTGGCCTAATTTGTCCATGGTACAATTAAAGATAAGCATTACATAGGTCCATAAGACTACATGTCATTCAATTTGGTTGTGGAAACATTAATTGTTACAAAGGCAACAACAATCCCTTACAGTAGTTAGAAAGACCCACAAGGGAGAGATCACCAAGTTCTATTAATATTGGTGATAGTACATGTGATCGGCTATTGCTCTCCGATCTTCATTCCAGTCAGCAATTCCTCGGTTGACATATCGACTGGTTGTGGCCCAAAGATTTGGTTGCCCTAGTGCTCCAACAGCTTCTTCTTCAACAAAATATGCGTCGTTGGGAACATGATCCCGCATGAAGTTGTGCAAGGCACAACAAGCAAGGATAATGTTGTTTTGTGTTGCCATCAAATATTTCTGCATGGGCCCCTGTAGCATCGAAAAATGCTTTTTCAACACACCAAATGTGCGTTCTATAATATTTCTTAACGATGCATGGCGTCTATTGAAAAGTGCTTTTGCTGCCTGCTCTTGTGGGGTTCCCCATGCACCCCTAAAGGGAGTCATAAATCTTGGCATATTTGTGTATGTCGCGTCCACCTTAAAATATTTGCCTGCATATCAATGGTGAGATCAACGAGATTCATTATTGAGAAATGCATTTAGTTGGAAGAAAACTCAATAGCTTATGATTTATGAATTAAATTTCATGCACCTGCTGGTGGCATTGGAAAGACACAATTAGGATCAAGTAAAAAATTACGTAAGATCCTAGAATCATGGCCACTACCCTCCCACTCTACCCTAACATAAATGAATCTCATATTATGATCATATACGGCTAGAATATTTTGTGATATGCCACTATGTCTGTTTTGGTAACGATCCATGTCTTTAGCTCTACACCAAGCTGATACGTGTGTTGACATAGGCCAGTGTTACATATTTAATAGGTTTTCATAATGACTAATTGAAAATTTAGTCCCTAACCTTAAACCATGGCCAAAACAGAGTACTGTTCCGTATTCTTGGATGAGTTGTGTGATAATCTATTGGTCTGACAAAGTCGCATCCCAATCGAATAAGAGATCGAAGGCAGCGTTGTAGATGACGATCCATTGTCTCTAACGAATGTTGAAATTTCTCGGGTAGAACCCTATGTCGCTCATTATGACTTAAGCACATAAGAGTAGTGGTAACAGACTCATGAATTCCAATCTGTTGTGTGAGGTGCAGCTCCCAATAGCCACGCTCCAGCAACATGTCACATAATTGCAGGAAAAGGGGAGCTTCCATGCAAAGATTGTCGAATATTCTATCTCGATGGCTGTTTATTAGCTCTACAACCCATTGTTTACCTAACAATGAATTATCTCGGATTTGTTGCCTCTGGAAAGGGTTTAGGTACGGGTCGAATAGCACCAGCCCTAGAAGCACAAACATGGCAAAGGTCAAAAGGAGCTCATCCTCGTTAGATTCGTCAGCTTCGTCGCCTCTGGAAAGGGTTTAGGTACGGGTCGAATAGCGCCAGCCCTAGAAGCACAAACATGGCAAAGGTCAAAAGGAGCTTATCCTCGTTAGATTCGTCAGAAGTGTCCCCACTATGTGCATAATGTTCATTTTCCATGAAGTCTTATTGGTGCAACTTCGTTAAAGGTGAATCTACAGGGTGTAGGCCAACAATATAGATCAAAATCAAGGCCACTAGAAAAATAAACCTAAAGAATTAAAAAGTGCTAAATACCTTGAACCCAAACTCTTAAAATTTGGGAGGTTCTTACAAGGCAAGGCATTGCCTTCCTAACACAATTGAACAATTTCACATTAAAAAAAAATGGTATCGTAACAATCAAATGGAGAAAGACTAGGAATTGAAGTATTGACAAAGTATGCACAACTAGAAGAGCAACATATGACTATATGAGTTGGCCACCTATATTATCAATCAACTGATACAACTATTTGCTAACTTGTTTGAATTTATAAAATACTCAAAAAATCATGGTATCCCAACAGCGCATGACTTAAAGGAAACAAATGACAGTCGCAGAAAAAAAAACACTCAAAGTTCTGGTAGCAAATGCTACAACTAAGGTTCTCAAGCATAAACAAACAAAGGCAATGACGGCTAGCTTTAGAGAAGTGCTCCAATGCACAAACGACTATAATGGGGGTGGGGGGGGCTCCTGAGTGCAATATTTAGGTGTGAGGCAGCCGCAACGCTTCATAAAGGTGATGCAGTCGGCGTCCGATCCAGCTAAATTCCAAATTGCCAACTCCTGAGGGTTCTTCAATATTTCTGCAGCGGCCATTTTGGCTTTGTAATTCACGTTCTCTAATGGCTTTGTAATTCACGTTCTCTAATGCTCAAAATTGAGCTATGGCAACATCATACTCCGATTTCTTTGATCCAAGGCAAGAACGATGCTTGGTCGGAGAGCTTACTGACACACTCATGCTGCTAGTCTTCTTTCGGCTAACAAACGATCCAATAGTGTCAAGAGTAGGGTTGGAACTGAACCAAGTAGCTCGGCTCGAGCTCGCGAGCTACTTGGTCAGCAGCTCGAGCTCGAGCTCGGTTGACCAAGCTTGATCTCAAGCTCGAGATGCTCGTTAGAGCTATCGAGTCGAGCTCGATTTTGGAAATATGATACTCAAGAGCTCGACGAGTTCTATCGAGCTTTTTATAATATATATTTTAATTTTTATTATTGTGAAATGTCAATAATATCCTTTATTTAAAATTATATATAAAATATTAATTTTTATTACTTGAGCTTGATTAGGCTTGATTGAGCTCGAATAAACTCGATTGAGTTTGATTTGAATTAATTACATTTAATTAAATTCGAGCTCGAGTTCGAGCTCGAGTTCCATAAATTGATGTCGAGCTCGAGCTTAGTTATTTTGCCTCGAGTCGAGCTCGAGTAGTGCACTACTCGAGGTCGACTCGACTCGATAGTACCCCTAGTCAAGAGCCTTCAAGTATCTATTAGTCACTGAACCGGACGCGATGGCCATAGGACTACAGCTTGATGTGTCACTAGACTTTCGCTTTCCTTTACCTTTCTTCCCTTTCTCTTTATTTGCCCCTACTACTTGTACATCAGGATCCTAGTCCTCATGCTCCGACCTGCCTTTTCCTCGTGCACATCATGCAGCAGTTTCCATGTCTAACTCATCGACTGAATTACGGAGGTCATTTTCGAAGTTAGAGTTGAAGTCTCCCGTTGCGCCTTGATTGACAAACACTTTCTCCAGTAAATGATAGACTAAGCAGTCATTTTGAAATTTTATGAATTTTGGGTTGACCTTGTACAAAAATGGAAAAAAAAAGAAGTTAACAAATTAGTCTAGATAAGAAAAAATAAACATATGCAGCTAGATCTGTAATTCATGAATAGTTGTAGCTGCTCCATCCCGGCCCACTTGTTATCGTCCATAAGGAATGTATGGTTCTGGCTATCCCAACCCAATCCCATTCCCTTTCTCTTAAAGGAAATGTACAGTTTGGTTAACTCTCGCATTACATAGTATTTGCCTCTTATACTATCGAAAGGGAAGGAGGTGCCGTATTGGCCATTCAACCGCCGTTGTATTTCGGGAACCACATAACTAGAAATGTTATTGTCCCTAATTTCATTGACCCTATGCATGTTGACAAGGTGCTGGGCAAAGGCAATTTCGTGATCCTTAGAGAAATGCACATGCTCTGAACATCCGCGCCTTTGTTTTCTCATCTTAATTAAACCATAGACAAATCTAGAAACAATAAACGAAATGCATTGACAGGCGGTGTATTCGATTAATAGTGTATATTCTTAATAATGTCCAAACAGGAGGAGGAGCAAGACATTACCTTGTAGTAGTTAGAAATGCATTGGACCAAATCGTTTTCCCCCAAGTAAAAATGGATGCACGGGTAGTCTGGCTGCTTGCCTGTTTCAATGCTAGCAAGATAATTACAAAAAATTATACTGTGTCTTACCTAGATATTCAACAAATCCCAACAAAGCAAATATACCTTTATAAGCACGTTGGGTAACAAGGGGCATGTAGCCTTAAATGGTGGCAACCATACAATCAAATGACAACCTGTTTTTGAGCACACCAGGAAGGATGAATTTAGACAGAGTACAAAGTGTATCACAAGTGGCAGTTCGAATTACATGCATTAAATAACCATTAGCCAGCCACATTGAGTTAAAAAATACAGTAGTAGAATATTATGACTACAAGAGTAATTATTTGTATGCAATAAGCAACAATAGCTTCATTGTCATAAGGTGAAAGCAAGCTAAGAAGCAGCAAACAAACATTTATTGCTCTCCTATAATATAGAAATGTATTTAGACCCTAAAAGTAGCAATTTCCATACCAATGCTGGCCATTTCTTCCCCAAAAAAGGAAAAAGATAAAATCCCATGGAACGGTTTATCATCCAGTAAAGAAGGGGGAAGCTTACCACAACAGCAAATTCGATGGCCGTGGAAGCAAGTTAAGAAGCAGCAAATAAGCAATGAAAGCAAGCTAAGAAGCAGCAAATAAACATTTATTGCTCTCCTATAGTACAGAATTGCATTTAGATCCTAAAAGTAGCCATATCCATACCAATGCTAGCAGTTTCTTCCCCAAAAAAGAAAAAAAAATGAAATCTCATGAAACGGTTTAGCATCCAGTAAAGAAGGGGGAAGCTTACCACAAAAACAAATTCGATGGCTATGGAACGTGCTCTCTGTCGAAGCGCCCGGTAATCTGGTGGTCATTTCTCGAACCGAAATCAGCAAAATTGGGAGTAGGTCAGCTGAGCAAATCTGCAAATGGGTGTGAATTACTGTAGCCTCCAACCTTTGCAACGATTGAGCACAACCGTACAAAGATGTGAGAAATTACAGCTGAAATTTGTGTCTCACTGACGGAGAGCTTTCTTCAGATCTGTAACAGTAGAAAGAGAGAAAAACAGGGTATGGAGGGCAACGTCGTTATTCTCAATTGGCAGTGGGTTGTGTTTTAGGGTTGAGTTTTCAGGTTTCAAATACAAGACAATTGTTTCAACAGTTGCAAAAACAACGTAGGTTTACCTACCTTGTACTGTGCACTAATCTGATACCGATTAATAGTAAGTGTGTTGTTTAAAGACAAAAACAATTTTTTGAAATAATTGCAAATCCAAATGTAGCCTTTATTCCTTTATAGTAGTGAAGTGAATTTGTCATATGTTTACACTTTCTTTTTTAATTATTAATTAAATTGGTGTCTTGACTATTTTGTTGATTTTGAAGTATAACTATGGCAATTCTACCTCATCTAACCACTATTTCAAGGGAGGTATTTTTTATTATTATTTTAAATTCTTTTATGTGTTCCTATGTATTTTTTTATCTGTGATTGCATATTTTTAGTGTTTTTCTTGTATTTACTCATTTTATTCATTTCAAAATTTTATTTATTATATTTAATTTTTTTATGATTATTTGGAGGACATTTAAACACCAAATTATAATTGATTGATGCCCCAAAAATATATTTAATTAGGCTATGTAATAGATAGATTTTATTTTTGTCAAAACGTAATTAATTAGATAAATATAATAGTTAGGTTATTATTTTTTTAAGGGTTAAAAACAAAAAAGCCCCCTGTGCTAAACCTAATGTACAAATAAGCCCCCTATGGTTTCAAAATATACAACGCGATAACCCGTGCTTTGAACTAAATTGTAACACTGACGGAAATTGGTAAAATTAACCGGAACTGATGAAAGGACCAAAATGCCCTTGTATAATACCCAAAAGGCAATTGAACGGACTCATTTCTTCCCTTCAAACCCTACAGAGAGAGAGAGAGAGAGAGAGAGAGGGAAAGCGAGAGCGAGAGAGAGGATGTAAAGCC